GCCCGGATATGGACCCTCAACTCTATGGTCAAATAATCTTCGACAAAGGAGGTAAAAATATGCCGTGGAAAGAAGACAGTCTCTTCAATAAATGTTGCTGGGAAAATTGGACAGCTATAAACAGAAGAATGAAGCTCGACCATTCTCATACACCATGCACGCAGATAAACTCAAAATGGATGAAAGACCTCAATGTGAGACAGGAATCCATCAAGATCCTAGAGGAGAACATAGGCAGTAACCTCTTTGACGCTGGCCACAACAACTTCTTTCAAGATACATCTCCAAAGGCAAGTGAAACAAAAGGGAAAATGAACTTTTGGGACTTCATCAAGATAAAAAGCTTCTGCACAGCAAAGGAAACAGTCAACAAAACAAAGAGGCAACCCACAGAATGCGAGAAGATATTTGCAAATGACACTACAGACAAAGGGCTGATATCCAAGATCTATAAAAAACTTCTCAAACTCAACACCCAAAAAACAAATAAGTCAAAAAGTGGGCAGAAGACATGAACAGACACTTCTCCAAAGAAGACATACAAATGGCTAACTGACACATGAAAAAATGTTCAGCATCATTAGTCATCAGGGAAATTTAAATCAAAACCACATTGAGACACGACCTTACACCAGTTAGAATGGCGAAAATTGACAAGGCAAGGAACAACAAATGTTGGAGAGGTTGTGGAGAAAGGGGAACCCTCTTACACTGTTGGTGGGAATGCAAGTTTGTACAGCCACTTTGGAAAACAGTGTGGAGGTGCCTCAGAAAATTAAAAATAGAGCTACCCTATGACCCAGCAATTGCACTCCTGGGTATTTACCCCAAAGACACAGACGTAGTGAAAAGAAGGGCCATATGCACCCCAATGTTCATAGCAGCAATGTCCACAATAGCCAAACTGTGGAAAGAGCCGAGGTGCCCTTCAACAGATGAATGGATAAAGAAAATGTGGTCCATATATACAATGGAATATTACTCAGCCACCAGAAAGGATGAAAACCCAACTTTTATATCTACATGGATGGGGCTGGAGGAGATTATGCAAAGTGAAATAAATCAAGCAGAGAAAGTCAGTTATCACATGGTTTCACTTATTTGTGGAACATAAGGAATAGTATGGAGGACATTAGGAGAAGGAAGGAGAAATCGGAGGGGGAGACGAACCATGAGAGATTATGGACTCTGAGAAATAAACTGAGTGTTTTAGAGGGTAGGGGTTGGGGGGATAGGTTAGCACGGTGATGGGTATTAAGGAGGCACATACTGCATTGAGCACTGAGTGTTATATGGAAATGGTGAATCATGGGACACTACATCAAAAACTAATGATGTACTGTATGGTGACTAACATAATAAAATAAAATAAAATTAAACAAATAATGCTAATAATGTGTTGTAAACAAGAGCCCACCTCTGGCATTTTAAATTAGAATATAAATTATTGAGTAAACTAATTCATATTATGTTGGTTTGGGGCTCTAGATTCTGTTTCATCTATATTTGGTTTATTTCCACATTAATAACACATTCTTGAACTACTTTTATTCTTTTTAAATGTTACCTTCCAGAGTTCTTACTCCTTCACTTTATTCATCATTTTCAAATCTTCTTGTTGGAAGAGTTCATCAAGTCGAAGTTAATGCCCTAGCTCAGGTATAAGTCCTAATAACAGCTGACCCTTCAGTACATACAGCTGAATGGATGCATAGAAAAAGCGGCCACCGCAGTGCTTGGTGGAATGGAGTATTGCCAAGGAGGCCAGATACACTTGAAATACAATGACTTGGTTAATATCATAACAGCTTTTCTTGTATGTTGTAAACAATGCCCAAGGCAATTGACAAAGAAGTCTGGGTCATCCACTGGAGTTCACAAATTTTGAGGGATTATCAAATTGATTATACTGACTCCTCCCTCCAAGTGAATTTCTAAATATGCTTTGGTTTGTGTGGATCCTGAATCTGGCCTAACCCAAGTTTACCCTATTGCTGCCCAAACCAGGCTACCACCATTAGGGGATTAGAAAAGCTGTGCATCATGTACAGATACCCTCATTGAATAGATAGTGATTGGGCATCACATTTCAAAGGTCATTATATGCTAGTCTGGGCAAAAGAATATGACACCGAATAGATCTCCCATATAATCTACAAGCAGCATGGTTGGTAGAAATAAAGAATGGAATATTTGTGCAGAGGATGAAATTACTAACAATAAAACCACATTGGCTGGGTGGACTAAAGTACTATACCAGGCTTTAATAAGTCTGAATAATCAACCAGCAGGGTCTGTTGCCTTATATGCCAGACTGATTCAAAAGGATGCATGTACCCCAATGTTTATAGCAGCATTATCAGCAATAGCCAGATAATGGAAAGAGACCAAAAGTCCAGGGACTGATGAATGGATAAGAAGCTCCATTTTATATATATATATATATATATAGGAGTATTAATCAACCGTGAAAAACAATGAAATCTTGCCATTAGCAATGATGTGGAAGGAGCTAGAGAGTATTATGCTAGGTGAAATAAATCAGTCAGAGAAAGACAAATACCATATACATTCACTCGTGTGGAATTCAAGAAACAAAACAAATGAACATGGGGAGAAAAAAGAGAGAAGTAAACCATAAAACAAACCCTTAACTATAGAGAACAAACTGAAGGTTACTGGCAGGGAGGTGTTTTGGGGGATGGGTTAAATGGGTGATGGGTGTTAAGGAGGGCACTTGTGTTGAGCACTGGGTGTTGTATGTAAGTGATGAGTCACTAAATTCTACACCTGGAACTAATACTACACTGTGTGTTATCTAACTGGAGTCTAAATAAAAACTTGAACTACAAATAATAAAAGAAAAGAAACAGAAGTAGAAAAGGCTTTATCTACTGGAATTTTCAATGTGATGTCCCACCAGGATGGGTGAATTACTTTGCACCCTGGATGAGGGGAAACTACTCAATCTCTACTAGGATCCTGTTGTTCCACTGCAAGCCAGACTGTTGAAATACACTATGCCTGAAATAAAACATGCATCATTGAAAGAAGGGAGGAAATGAGGGGCCTGGTTTAGTACATCTTGCTCCCAGTCCATCTCCTTATCCCTGACTGTGCCCCCATTCCTAGCCAACATGTATGGTATGCACAACCTGGTCAAGTTCCTAAAGCTGTCAATCTCCTCAAGACTAAGTGGCATGTTCTGTTTTCCATCGGTATGACCATTTGGCTGCCATCATTTTTTCCCCTCCATTTGTCTGGAAGATATTTTGGCACACAGAGAAGACCTCACTAAGTTCATTCAACAAGCCTTAAATGATAGCCAACAAAGCCTGTCCTTATTGACCATTGGAATATCTGTAATGAAATAAAAGCTTTTCTCCAAAACAGGAATTATTACATTATTACAGCCTTGCAAGGAGGCACTTATGCCATTATCCATGTGCTCATAGCTGATGAGTCTGCTTATGTATCATCTTTGTAAATCACATTTTATGTCATTTTACCCTGAGTGATTCAACCCCCAGTCCAGAGGCTTAGTAATTCAGTATTTCAGATCATAAGGGTCTTGGTAGAAAAAATGCTACTTATTTTGGGGATCATTATCTTGATCTGTGTATTCTCTTGCATGGACCTATATTGTTGCTGTGGTATCTGCCCCTAATGCAGCCAGATAGCTGCTAAATGAGCCATCTCCAAGATAATGAAACCACTTGCTGACCACTCAGGGTACACTGAAAGAGAAGGGGGCTTTCAAGATTGTAAAAGCAGGTCTGAGGGGTAGAGTTTCAGAGAAGGTAATCAGAAGGATGTGATCGCCAGTCAATCCAATAGCTGGACACAGGTAATCAGAATTTCTCACCCTTTCCTATCCTTGCAATGTACATTTCATCTACCATTCCCAGATTCAGAGCTGTTTTAAGGTTGTAGTCTTGAGAGAGTGAGGTATTGTTGAAACTATTGGACTGAGTATGTGATTGCACCCAGTGAAAGCCTCTATAATATACACTTAGGACTCTAGCAGGTGGATGCAGAGATCTACTCATCTTTTGGCTGCCCAAGACAAGCTGTATATGTGTTCTCTTGCTTATTAAATCTTACAGAACCAACACTTCTAAAATAACACATTTTAGAATTTGCCTGAAATTTATCTTTTTTCTGAAAGACTATTAAATTTTTATATCTTTTTAAAAAATAAATCATTTTGTTGTTGGTGTCATATAATTGCTTGATATACTTGATGTATATTTTCTGTTGCTCTACATACTTAGCAGTCGTGGGATAATCTATTTGATAATACCTAGCATCAATTCAGTGTATCCTATATATATGTAAATTAAGTTATCTACTATTTTATTTATTTTGAGCTGTCATTTTCCAGATCTCATGTTAGGGCCATAAAATAAAGTATTTCAAAAAGTTGTTAATTTTATTATTTGAATAAATGATAAAATATATTTCTTTTTTTTTAAGATTTTTATTTATTTATTTGAGAGAGAGAGAGAATGAGAGGCAGAGAGCACGAGAGGGAAGAGGGTCAGAGGGAGAAGCAGACTCCCTGCTGAGCAGGGAGCCCGATGTGGGACTCGATCCTGGGACTCCAGGATCATGACCTGAGCCAAAGGCAGTTGCTTAACCAACTGAGCCACCCAGGCGCCCCTGATAAAATATATTTCTAACAGTCCACCTTGGCCAGATTCCTTAGTGTGGAGTCATCTTTGACTACTTTTACAATTATTTTATGGGTTTATGGAGAAGCCTGCTTCTCCCTCTCCCACTCCCCCTTGTGATTCATATGGTTTGTGTTTCTGAAAGAAATATAGCAACTAATTTTTAGGGGACTTTTAAGCCTTATTTTAATATTTACTGGAAGAAGTATAATATTATTAATCCAGTTATTTTCTTGTATGCCTTTTTTTTACTTGTATACCTGTTTTTAAAATGTATGCTTGCACATATTTTTCTTGATAATGTTTACCCAAGTTTTATGCATGTTATTTAAAAATTTTACTATTGTTTTCAATTTTATACCTTAATACTTAGTAACTTACTTCTTCCATTTTTTTAAAAAAATAATTTCCTGAGGAGAAAATTTTGTTGAAATATATTCAGTTTTACATGTTTTCTGGCAAAATAGCTTTTATGGGTTTTTTGGATATGTTCTCTTTATGAAAGTGTGTCAGTGTTTTCACTTTCATTTTATCACTATGAGATGATATATTTATACTTTAAAATTAGTTTTGATACTTTTTTTGTAGATGCACTGACTTCAGGGAGCACAGTCTACAAGAAAGTGTATTTTGAAATTTGTTGGCCTTTCTTCTGTGACCTAGTGCATCGTCAAATTTTCTGTGTGGTTTGTGTATCTTGAAAAAATCAGATATAGGTTTGTTGAGTGCAAATTTGCTTATACGAAATTTGTTTATATGAGTATTATGCTAAGTTTACTCAAACTCTTTGCATTTTGCTTATATTTTGACTCCTTTGTCTCTTAATCTCAAAAATCAGCCTTTCTGAGACACCTGTATTAAAATTTCTCGGATGCACCTCAGCTGCATAATTATTTTAAGGTCTTTTAAAAATGAATGGCTCAAGGGCGCCTGGGTGGCTCAGATGGTTAAGCGACTGCCTTCGGCTCAGGTCATGATCCTGGAGTCCTGGGATCGAGTCCCACATCGGGCTCCCTGCTCGGCGGGGAGTCTGCTTCTCCCTCTGACCCTCTTCCCTCTCGTGCTTTCTATCTCTCATTCTCTCTCTCTCTGAAATAAATAAATAAAATTAAAAAAAATAAAAATAAAAATGAATGGCTCAAAAAAAATGAGGCTCACGGGTAATTTTTGACATTTTTAGACTTCATGTTGAGGCTTTCATTTTTTAAAGTGATTTGATTAATTCATAATAATGATAAATTGATAGACATTATGTTTGGATTTGTCCTGCAATCTTACTTTTCTATATTTATTTTTTATTATATTATGTTAGTCACCATAGAGTACTTCGTTGGTTTTTGATGTAGTGTTCCATTACTCATTGTTTGCGTAAAACACCCAGCGTTCATTGCAATATGTGCCCTCCTTAATACCTATCACACAATCTTATTTTTTTTATTTTAGTCTTGCTTTTCTTTTCACATATTCATCTGTTTTTACTTTTTAAAGTTTAAATTTTGATATCTTGAAAATTTATTTTGATGAACGCTTACGTTAGTATTCAGATATTTTTCTTTAAATCATTGTCTTTGTGTATCACCAATATCAATTAAATTTTTTTTGCTTTGCTTTTCAGTTTGTTCTTTTTTGTATACTAAATTTCCATCATATTTATATCTATTTGGCACCCTCTATTAGAGTCTATTAACCCTGCATTATTTATATGTGTGTCAAACTTTTCTAATTATTACACCTTTAATCATTTTGCTATTTATTTTTTCAGAATTTCCCCAGATATCCAATTATATTTATCATTTTTGTAATATTCATATTTTTTTCTAATTCAATTATCACTTTATAGGTGCTTTAGTTGAGCTTAAATTTATAGATAAGAGAAATTTCTCTACTTATAATATTTAAAACATTGAGTATTTCTACCCAAGAAAAAAATCTTTTTTCATTCTTTGAAGTTTTATTTTGTTTTTGTTATTTTAATTTTCAGTTTATTTTTATTATTTAACATAATCTTGTAGATATCTAGTTTGGCACTTCCCTTATTATTGTTTTTTTTCCCTTATTATTGTTATTATAAATGTCAATTTTTTTCATTACATTCTTTTAAAAAATAATAGTTGGTATTGAGTGCTATTTAGTGTTTATTTTTTTTAAAAATTATTATATTCCTTCAGTTTAGTTGTGCAACTTATTCTAAAAATTTCCTAAAGTTTGTGTGTAAGCTTGGATTATAAAATAGGTCCAAGGCTGGTGATTTGTCAAATGAGTATGTTAAAGAAGAAAAAGCAGTAGAAGATAGTAAAAGGGGCACCTGAGTGTCATAGTCGGTTAAGCGTCTGACTGTTGGTTTTGGCTCAGGTCATGATTTCAGGGTCGTAAAATCGAGCCCTACATCAAGCTCCACGTTCAGCACTGAGTCTGCTTGAGATTCTCTCTCCCTCTCCCTCTGCCCCTCCTGATGTGCTCTCTCTCTCTCTCTAAAATAAATAAACAAATCTCAAAAAAGAAAATATTAAAAAGCAACAGGTTTTAATCATGAAATATCAGATTAAGTTTATACAGAGATGGAGGAAGCCAGAACATGAATGTGGATTGGATCTCAAAAGAGGTAAAATCACTTATGTGAATGTATTTTATCTAGAAGAAAGAGAGGGAGTTAATATCTTTCTGGGGAGACTTTGGAGTGTAATATTAGGAGGGGGTAAGAAGGTTTTTTTTTTTTTAAAGATTTTATTTATTTATTCATGAGAGACAGAGAGAGAGAGAGAGAGAGAGAGAGAGAGAGAAGCAGAGGGAGAAGCAGGCTCCCCACTGAGCAGGGAGCCCGATGCAGGACTCGATCTCAGGACTCTGGGATCATGACCTGAGCCGAAGGCAGATGCTTAACCATCTGAGCCACCCAGGCACCCTAGGAGGGGGTAAGAAGGTTGAGTGAAAGTCAATAAGCAGATCGGGGTATTGGTTATTTAAGAATGTGGCTGACTCATCTCTGTGAACAATGAAGTTACCAAGCATGATGGAAGGGTTTGTGGGGAAGAAGAAGGTTGTCTCATGAAGTTTCTACTCATTTTGCTGTATTATTCTTACAGGTCTTACTGACATCAAATGAAATCTTGTGGAAAAAAATCATGTTTCTGCATCTTTCTTTTCATTTACATTTTCTATATTTCTCCTGACTTATTAAAATAAAATCATCATCACCATCATTATCATAATTATATACTTGATATTCTTTTTTATTTTTATCTAAGAGAGAGACAATGAGAGATAGAGAGCATGACAGGGAAGAGGATCAGAGGGAGAAGCAGACTCCCCGCTGAGCAGGGAGCCTGATATGAGACCGGATCCCAGGACTCCAGGATCATGACCTGAGCCGAAGGCAGTCGCTTAACCAACTGAGCCACTCAGGCGCCCCTATACTTGATATTCTTAATAGAAATACTTCTACTCTAATGCTATCATGAGGCTTGAGTATTCTAATCCCATTTTGTTATTTTTTTAAATTATTTTTAGTAAGGAAAAATATTTATATAGACTTCTTATACAGATTTATTTCATAATGTGTTATTATGTCTAGGAAATGAATATTTTGTAAAGACAATGGGATAGATAAAGGACTTAATTTTTTTAAAAATGACACTACTTTTCACATAAGTTTATCATATAAAATTATATATATATATATTTAAATTTATATACATTTGGGTGCCTGGGTGGCTCAGAGGGTTAAGCGTCTGCCTTCACCTCAGGTCATGATCCCAGAGTCCTGGGATTGAGTCCCGCATCGGACTCCCTGCTCCTTGGGAGCCTGCTTCTCCCTCTGCCTCTCACTCTCTCTGTCTCTCATGAATAAGTAAATAAAAATCTTTTAAAAAAATAAATAAATTTATATACATTTGTCTATGTGACCTATGCATTATGTCTTCCTCCTTTACTCCAAAGTTGTCAGCTATATGTGACAACTATATTTTTATACGTGGTGTAATTACATAAATATACATGTTTACATATATACATATAGAGACTCTTAAATGTACATAAACATGCATATGTATGCATCATTAACACAAAACCCACATTTCTTAATCTGTTTTGGCAACTGAAGTCAATCCTCAAGATAAGCAAAATGGCAGGTCAGCTTTGAAACAGTCTAACCTAGTAACATAATTCACCAAATTGATTGCTGGTCAATTAAAAAAGTCATTGCTTTAAGCACTTTGTTTCACTAAATTATCATTAAGTTGTCCAATGTGTTTATTTCAATTTGTTCACTTGAACAAAGTAAGTAGATGTTTTCTAAAATTCAGGAAAATTGGAAACCAAGATCTAATTACCATTATGACAAAATGAAAGACATTAGTTTTATAATTGGCAAAATACCTTTTGCACTGTACTAAAATAAAGCTCTATGTTACAGATTGTGAAGTTGGCCATTTGAAAATTATTGAAAAATAGCACAAACATACATAAGCCAAATGCAAAAATGCCAAATCATATCAAAAAGCAAATACTGTATACATGTAAGTGAAATATTTTAGAGTGATGCTAGCATATTTAATTTCAAATGTTTCTGGTTCATGTATAAAATAAAGAAACTAAAAATACCTACAGTATCTAAATATAAAGCACATCTTTGATAATTCACAGGAAACATTTTCCCATATTTTCCTTTAAAGTAAAAACACAAAATGAAGATAAAGCATCATTGAAAACTGAATGAGGATATACAACATTTTCCTTTTCCCCTACACTGCATCTGTGTATCCCACGCTGCTCTAAATATGCAGAAATTCAAGAACTGTCCCCTGATTTTGGCTCAGAAACAGGCTGTCAGGATGAAAGAGGATTCGGATTTTAGCAAGACAGGCACTGTACTTGAAGATTAGCCATGAGCTTCAGATACAAGCCAATAGCAGCAGCTGGGCTTTTAAAGTCTCACGTGCTCATTTCATTTCTCCTCTGTGATTTATCTAAAATGAGTGAGGAAGAATAAATGATAAGGAAAGGAGTACACAAGTATCTTCATGTTGTTCTCACTGAATTGGAATCAACACATTTAATCATTTTTGTCATTCAAGGATCAGTAAATTTAAATATTACCGTGAATATTTTGGACCACATCTCAGAAACGTTGTCAGACCACAAACTGCATAGATCATGTACTGTGTGTGTGTATGTATGTGTGTATGTGTGTGTGTATATGCATACATGTGCACATACATATATAAGTATATACCATAAGGAGTTAAAATAATTTGGAAAAGTAGAGATATTGTATTTAATGCATAATTTACAATCTCTCTTGAATATATACCAAGACTATATAGCTTAATTATATGCACAGATACTGATAGATAACTATAACTGGCTGTCAGGTGTGATTTTAATGCCATACACACACACACACACACACACACACACACACACATACATATATGTTTTAAAGCACTGAGAAATTAGATGAATCCACCCAGGTTATCTCTCCATACCCCTTGCCTTATTCATCATAAGATTCTTCATCATTCACTCAGATGGTCAGCAGTAATAACTTAGAGTAGGTAAAGATCCATTTATTTTATGCAAGATGACAGTCAACATATTAAAATAAAAATTATGTGTCTTAGAGTACCATCGGGATGTTAAAAACATTAAAAACATTAAAGAGATTAAGAAATTCTTGTTTTGGGGCACTTGAGTGGCTCAGTCGTTAAGCATCTGCCTTCGGCTCAGGTCATGATCCCAGGGTCCTGGGATCGAGTCCCACATCGGGCTCTCTGCTCAGCAGGAAGCCTGCCTCTCCCTCTCCCATTCCCCCTGCTTGTGTTCCCTCTCTCTCACTGTCTCTCTCTCTCTGTCAAATAAATAAATAAAATCTTAAAAAAAATAAATTCTTGTTTTTTTAGGAATGGGAAAATGTTTAGAAACCTCTAGTTTGAGAAATAAAACATGTTGACATTGCAATGGATTGTGAGGTGAAGAAGAGTTTGCTTTGAGACGTATCTCCCAAGGATTTAAAACTTTGACACAAAAAATGGGAGATTGGAAGGAACTTTTTGACTTACTATTAAGTAAGGTCATTCTAGTAATGAAAAGTATCCAAAGCAGATAGAAGGGCTTGGGATGTAGAGCTCCACTGGTATTTAAGAATATGGCTGGGGACTATGCTGGAATTTAAAGAGGCATCTAAGTAGCTCAACGTGTTTAGAGGACAGTCAAAAATACGTAACATGTCATTTCTTTCTTCTTTCTTTCTTTCTTTCTTTCTTTCTTTCTTTCTTTCTTTCTTTCTTTCTTTCTTTCTTTCTTTCTTTCTTTCTTTCTTTCTTTCTTTCTTTCTTCTTTTGACAGAAAGAGACACAGCGAGAGAGGGAACACAAGCAGGGGGAGTGGGAGAGGGAGAAGCAGGCTTCCTGCTGAGCAGGGAGCCCGATGCGGGGCTCCATCCCAGGACCCTGGGATCATGACCTGAGCCGAAGGCAGATGCTTAACCATCTGAGCCACCCAGGCGCCCCCATAACATGTCATTTCTAAAGATGAACAGATTTATGAGAGTGAGAGTGCACTCAATTTTTTAAAATTACCCAAACTCATGTTTTTCCATCTCCCTTTCATTTAGTGATGTTTGATATTATATTTCCAAATGATATGGTTTAATTTGCCATAAAAATTACTCCAAATGGTAATGTGTTGTCTTAAGAAGCAGAAGATATGGAAATTCAAGAAGATATCTGAAGTGTTTTTAAATCTGTGAGTTGAATAAATTTTGAAATCATTAAAAATAAAGTGAGAAAAATTCCTCCTCTCACAGGATTTATCATTACGGGAACATCTGGCATTTGGAATACAGATATTAAAATAAAATTTATGCAATTTTACAATATGATTCACAACGTATAATTGATTTTTTTAGCAGATTTTTCAAATTAGTCATTCTTGGTTTGCTTTACGAATATGTATTTTATATGACCAAACATTTTATATTACATTAAAAATACACTAATAAGTGAATTATATTGTGTGCTTTTAAAGAAAATTAAAAGTAACTTTATGGTATGAGGAAATTGTTTGGGGAAAACCAAAATAGGCATCATATTCAAAGGAGAAAAATATAATAAAACTCAAAATATTATCATATTCTAAGGAGAGAAGTGCAATAGACAAAATATCCCCACCTGATAAAACCTTATTTCCTCTTTCTCAGATAAGCAGCTGTGTGGTTGTCATCAAACTCTGCTGTTTAAAAAACAAAATGCATAATTAGTGGTCATTAAGACACTAAGGTTATTTTCTGCATATGCCAGTCTCCTCCATGCCCCATAAAGGGGAATTCTTGACAAATAGCAAGAACAGAAACGTTATATTTTGAGGGCCATGAAAGACTATGTCCAATCATAATTTAGACTGGATTTACTTCAAAGTTCTTAATTACAGGTCACTTCGTGATGTGACAGATGGTAGAATGGTAAAGTGGCTAACAAGACACAAAGACAGGTGGCCGAGCTGCTGAGGGAATTTCTTCTAAGATAATGTTAGTCTGGGCATTTTGGTGACATTGAGACTCTGGGGGCAAGATCATGGGTGGAGTCAGTGCTGACCTTAAATCATTTAAGAATTGATAATTGCCTTAAGTGTGACAATCAACTCTGTTACTTATAAACCTTGTAAAAACATGCTAAAAGTACTTTGAGTTATCTTTTGAAAACAAAAAAAAAATATTCCTCATGGCCTTTAAAAGTTTATTTAGGAATAGACAACTTAAATTTTATGTCTAGTGAACCAAAAATAAACACATAAAACAAAGTATTTGGAGAAATCAATTTGTATTAGCAAGGAAGTTTTTAAACACATCCATGAATACCAACATATTGTTAAAATTTATGTAGAAAATATCTCACAATTTCTTTTTTTTTTTAAGATTTTATTTATTTATTTGAGAGAGAGAGAGAATGAGAGATAGAGAGCACGAGAGGGAAGAGGGTCAGAGGGAGAAGCAGACTCCCTGCTGAGCAGGGAGCCCGATGTGGGACTCGATCCTGGGACTCCAGGATCATGACCTGAGCTGAAGGCAGTCGCTTAACCAACTGAGCCACCCAGGCGCCCTCTCACAATTTCTTTTAAATTCACCTCTGGGGGCACCTGGGTGGCTCAGGCTTTAAACATCTGCCTTTGGCTCAGGTCATGATCCCAGGGTCTTGGGACTGAACCCCGTATCAGACTCCCTGATAGGCAGTAAGCTTGCTTCTCCTTCTTCCTCTCCCCCTGCTTGTGTTCCCTCCTGCTCTGTCTTGTAATGCTCCAAATTCCACTAAACACTTCAGCACAGCAGTACTGCATAAATGCAAACTAAGAGACTATATAGTGATTTTGTGTTAGAAATAAGGATCTAGACTCTTGGACATGTCCACTTTTATTTAAAAGTGTGACTCTCCTTTCAAAGCAAGAAATACTATTACTTTTTAACAATAACAACAATAAAAACAAAATGTGTTTATAAGTTCATAACAAAAGTACTAGAGAATGATTTGGCTATTGTATTACTAAAGGTGATGTGATTAGGCATAGAGAGGTAAGCAAATTAGAGGGACCAAATAAATAATTTTACAAGGATATGAAAAGAAATCTCCATTTTCTACTCTAGACATACATTAAATTAATTTTGAAACAAACAATGGCATTATTGTATTTTCATTTTTGAGTAATACTCACTTAAGAAAGACACTGGGGAAAACCTTTTCCTTTATTTAGGAAGAAATATTGCCTATCCCTCAGAGTTAATTGCTAATACTTTCTACAAAGGATATTTAAGGACTTAGCAAGGACCAATCAAAGGGGAAAAAAAAAACACTACCTTGGCAAACTACAGTGTAATTGATCTTTTAAAATAAAATATAATAATAATTTATTTAGCATTTCAATTTAAAATAATGCAGATTTCATTGAATGTATTAGAATATGGCTAACTTGAAACAGCATCCTAATATTATTATCTTGGGAAAGCTCAAGAAAGTAATAGAAATTCATATATTAATTTTGCATGTATCTCGCAGTTTCTAATTTTTTAAGATATAAAATTTCTAATAAATTAAAAGTAATAATATAAATGCAGAACTTTTGAAAGATAATCACTAATCACTTCTCTAAATTAAAATTTTAATAGATCATATTTCCATAGTTTATTAATCTACCTAGAAAATCTCTATTACAGAAAAATGTCATATAAAGCCATAGTAATAAAATAAATATAGTTGTTATTGTAGCCTAAGAGAGACATTCAACTGGTCTGCAAAGGTTAAGATATATTGTTTATTTAAGGGTATTATATATTCTGATTGGCCTGTGCTTCTTCAATGGTTGTTAAATATTATAAATATCTCTGCTGAATTTGGATGTTACCATGAAATGGTAGAGATGTTTTCATCTGTATTTTTTTTTTTTTTAGATTTTATTTATTTACTTGAGAGAGAGAGAGGGAGCACAAGTAGAGGGAAGGGGCAGAGGGAGAGAGAAGCGGACTCCCCACTGAGCAGGGATCCCAACGTGGGTCTTGATCCCAGAACCCGAAGATCATGACCTGAGGCGAAGGCAGACACTTAACCGAGCCACCTAAGTGCCCCCTTCATCTGTATTTTATGTTGAATTCCAGTGTGTAGGCTTCCATCTCCTGCTAGGTACCAGGTAAAATAGATACCAGGACTGTGAATGGCTTTGTGCTGTAATGATCTAAGCGCACAATTCTCTTTTCCACATGAGAATGTATACTTAAGCTAATACAAATGTATTCATAAAGGAATTCCATGTTTTATGTGATAGAAGCCCCTGAGTTGTCCCAGGTCTATAAGAAGTCATGAGTAAAAATATGGCATTTTGAAGTTAGAAAAGTAAAGTTAGGAAAGCAGCACTTTTTTCTAGCTGGAGAGTTTTCTCTCCTCTACCCAGAGAAAATCTCCAGTGCAATAAAGATCACCAGGATTTTCTTCAAGAAGTAGCTTACGCATATCCCAAAACTTGGGGAAATATTTGGTTGAGATATTGTAATTATATATCATCACCTAAGACAAAACAATTTAATTTGCAAATTATTCAGAGTATTCATCCTCTTTACCCTTATAACAATTCAGTAATATCCCTGGGTGGCATAGATTGGTTGATTTCCCAGCAAAAATATTTGGGGGCAAATATATCCACATTTCTTTGATAAACTCAGTTAGTTTATGTTGACTTTTTAAATAATAAGGAATATCAGGTATTATAGCCTGAACTGTATTCCCTCAAAAAAGATGTTGAAGTCCTAATCCAAGAACCTCTCAGAATGTGATTTTATTTTGATATAGAGTTGTTAGGTGTAGTTGGCTAAAATGAGATTATACTGGAATAAGGTTGGCCCTTAATCCAAATGGCTAGTGTTTTATAAGAAGAAGTTCATGTGAAGAAAGAGAAACACTGGGAATATGTCCTGTGGTGATAAATGCAGAGATTGATGTTATGCACCTACAAAGCCAAGGAATAACAAAGATTGCTGGCAAACCACCAGAAGCCAGAAGAGGCAAAGAAGGAGTCCTTACAGATTTCAGAGGAAGCATGGCCCTCGCAATACCATAATTTCAGGCATCTAGGCTCCAAAACGGTGAGACAATCCATTTATGTTTTTTAAGCCAATCTTGTTTGTGGTACATTTTTATAGCAGCCTTAGGAAACTAATATTTATGGCTAAGAAAATGTTCACTTAATTAAAGCCAATGTTAAGGTATTATCTGTTATGTTACTTACGTTAGAAAAACTGTTTTCTGTATTGGTCCCTATTCCATAATAATAAGAACACATAAGTGGAATATAGGATACATGTCTTCCTTTTTCTATGATGTTTGTATGTTAAATTAATCTTTGAAATGCCTGAATTTATGTTCTTACACGAAAAGATCACAGAAACAAAAACAAAGCCCCCTTCATTAAAATATTTCAAATTGTGACATGTCAAGAAGCCATTTCTCTAATTCTTAGACTGATGTGAAGAGCAGAACATTTAAATAGTTACATCTGAAATGGTCTACTTATAAAGTATTTCCATTAACAAAAAACAGTAATAGTTCAATATAGTTTATTCCTTGATTTTTTTTATAAAATGCTCTATTACCAGGGCACCTGAGTGGCTCACTTGTTAAACATCTGCCTTGGGCTCAGGTCATGATCCCTGGGTCCTGGGATCTAGCCCGGAAGTGGGCTCACTGCTTGGCGGGGAGCCTCGTTCTCCCTCTCCCCACCCCTTACTCATTCTATCTCTGATTATCTCTTTCTGACAAATAAATAAAATCTTAAAAAAATTGCCTATTACCTATTAGGCCCTTAGTAAATGTTTGTTGAATATATAATTGAATTAAAATATGAATGCAGGTAAAACAAAAAATAACAAGTAGTAATGGAATTATGTTCAATATCTGCTTGCTTTCATAAAATACAGAAAGAAAATAATTCAGATAGAGGCATTATCTGTTTTTTAGATAATAGAGTAGAGTTTGAAATGTAAACAAGACCTTACTCTATTAATTTTGTTTGCCTCTAATTTTACCATTGTAGTTATATGCTTGGGGAGAGAAACCTTGATCATCTTCAAATTATTCTAGGGGTGCTTGGTTGACTCAATTAGTAGAGCATGTGACTCTTGATCTTGGGGTTATAAATTCAAGGCCCATGTTGGGTGTAGAGATTATTTAAAAATAAAATCTTAAAAAAATAAAAGAAAATGAAAATCCCTAAATACAGATTGTTCTAGTATTTTTATGTCAAGAATGCTCACAGTTAGAAGATACCAAATACTAAGTCATTAATAGCATCATTTGTTTGGAAATGAAAGGAAATTTACCTCTAGATTTGAGTCACAAGTGTGATCACAAAATAATTTGCCCACGAAGTGCTAAAGCAGTGCCTCACAGTGGAATGATCCTGTTAATTTGGGTTATCCATGGATGGAGCTCTGGAAAAGGTACGTACATTTAGGTTCTTTTGCTGACATATCAGTTGTTGGGTGTATAGGCTTTGTAGACATTAAAATATTTCCAATTTAGGGGTACCTGGATGCCTCAGTCTCCAATTTAGGGGTGCCTGGGTGGCTCAGTCATTAAGCGTCTGCCTTTGGCTCAGGTCATGATCCCAGGGCCTTGGGATTGAGCCCTGCATCAGGCTCCCTGCTCTGCAGGAAGCCTGCTTCTCCCTCTCCCACTCCCCCTGATTGTGTTCCTGCTCTCCCTCTCTCTCTGTCAAATAAATCAAACCTTTTTTTAAAAAAAAAAAAGATTTCCAATTTAAAGTTAGCCAAGTAAAATGATTTCAGGCAAGTTTTGAGGGAACTATGATTGTTAGAACATATTGATCTTTATTTCATTAGGAAGTTTATCCAAACATTTTTTTTTTTTTTGCTTATCCAAAATTTTGAGAAATAAGCTTGCGTATTTTATGAGCATTTTCCAAGATAATTTCTCTGACATTCAAGGAAATTGATGTGATTTATCTTTTTTTTTGCTTCAGTCAAAATGATATTTAGACCTGATAGGAGAGAAAAAAACCTAAAAGATTGGAGAGGCTATATATGTATACAATAATTGGAACTTCTAATAATTGAAACTCCTTACTATGATATACCAAGAAAGAATTAACTTTTATCACACTTTTAAATCCAGGAAACCCCCAAAAATGAAAAGATTGATTTTTATTTTTTTGAAGTTTCAAATAGATCAATCTGTCACCCTTGATGGAGTGCTATCACTAATGTAGGTGAAAGGTCGTCCATTGCCTGGCATAGAGTGCCATTTTGTGTTCCAGTCTAAGACACACCCTTGTATGTCTCTCAAACTACAAATTTTGATCTTTATTCTCCTTCTCATTATATTTAAACTTTAAGCTATTTTTTTTACGGGGCACCTGGATGGCTTAGTCAGTTAAGTGTCTGCCTTTGGCTCAGGTCATGATCCCAGGGTTCTGGGATCCACACCTGGCTCTCTGCTCAGTGGGGAGCCTGCTTCTCCCTCTCCCTCTGCCTGCCCCTTCCCCTGCTCCTGCTCTCTCTTTGTGTCAGATAAATACATGACATATTTTTTAAAAAAAGATATTTTTTCACAGTTTCTAACCAACCAAATTTTCTCCTACTTCTGAGTATATTTTATACTTTTATTATTTCTTAATAGCAATTCATAAGTGTATTGGGTTTGATGCACAAAGAAGAGATGATATGTACTCAGCTGAGCATTTGAAACTAGTAGTCTTTTGAAAGGTTTAATTCCAACATTTGATAAAAGTCATAAACTTTGACTGCCTGGACTGGAATCAATACATATGTATTAAAACCAGTTGTAAGCTACTCCCTGATCCTATCATTCCAGAGGCATCCTGTCTCTAGTTCCATCTCTTGGTGTTTCAAAACACTCTCCAAGTTGACCCAGAGGAGGTATGTTTCAAAGTACAAAATGATGTACTTGAATGTCATATAGCACTTAAAGTCCATGGATTTAATCTTGGGCCACAAAGAGAGAAGTTACTGATTACACAGAGTTTATTCTTTTTATACCTAATTGACTTAATTATTGACATAAAAGCTTTCTGGAGAATCATGACCTTTTGTGCCCAATTTAAAGCAAATATATTTTGTACTTTTGAACCAACAAGACAAAATAATTTCTGCAGCTAATGAAATAAGATCAGTTGTACTAATACACACCTAATGCAGAGGATGTGCAACTGACCGAGTTTTAAGAAGGTGATTTGCTATCATGTCAAAATATATTTGTAGGTCAACTTTGAACAATAACTTATCCCTTTGCTTACTGGAATCTTACATTTTTACTCGTGAAGGCTCTTGACAAATTGGGAAGCAGAGAAGCACTTTGCACTTAAACACTTTTCACATCTTTCATCTTTTCTTCTGTGTGAGACTACTCAAGTTGTCAGGCACAGATATAAACAGACTTTATTTTATATAATGATTTCTATGGTCCTAAAAATAGCAAAACTCCCTGCTTGCCAGTATGTGAGGAGGCAACTACAATTTTCTTTTAGAATCACGGTGTCAAAGTTAATATTAACTGGACTTTAGTTTCTTTTAAAGACATCTATCAAGGAGCCTCTGATCTCTGTTTTGGGGAAATTAACACAAACATTCTGGATGTGTAATTCATAAATCAGAAACTAAGCTCTTTCCAAAGGTTCCAAGATATGAATTGATACTGAGATTTGTTCCAACACCATGATGAACTTGGGTGGTTAGTAAGTAGTGTGGCCATATAATTTGTCATCTAAACCTGCACATTTTGGAGTGAATGAGGACATTATTAATTGTGCAGGAAAACAGCCATAACAAAAATGTCTTGGGCAAGGTAGAATGCATGGTCACCTAATTTGTGATTTCACAAATGCTGCCAGTAGCAAGAGAGCTCTTATGAGTTTTGTGTTCCAACAGACAGAGCCATAAAGTCTTGAAGAAATACACCTCAGATCAAGAGTTGCAGGTCAAAGTTATCTTTCACAATTTGATATTGTGTATCAATTTGGACCAAATTTGATATTTGGTATAGTTGGAGGAGCTATTCAATCCAGATTAATTTAGACAAAGTTGGTTGCTCAGAATATCTATAACCAGGGCGCCTGGGTGGCTCAGTTGGTTAAGCGACTGCCTTCGGCTCAGGTCATGATCCCGGAGTCCCGGGATCGAGTCCCACGTCGGGCTCCCTGCTCAGCAGGGAGTCTGCTTCTCCCTGTGACCCTCTTCCCGCTCGTGCTCTCTATGTCTCATTCTCTCTCTCTCAAATAAATAAATAAATAAAATCTTTAAAAAAAAAAAGAATATCTATAACCAAATGCTACTCCTTAATTTCTTCTTGGATCTATTTGATTTGATCCAATAGTATTAAAATGTGTGTGTGTGTATGTGTGCTCACACATGTGTATGTCAACTAGTAGATACTTAGATAATAATGTACAGAGATTATCTTGTTTTGAAGCTACTTGACTAATAAGAAAATAAGTAATGGACCTATAGGGTAAACACATTTAAAATTGCTTCCCATAATCGCTTCTCGGCCTTTTGGCTAAGATCAAGTGTAGTATCTGTTCTTATCAGTTTAATATCTGATACATCCTCTATCAGAGGACAATATATTAAATGGATTTTTGGAATTAGGAGATGGAATAGGAGCTTGCTCTGTCCACTCCATGCATCGACCTGGTATCGCAGTACTTCGAGGAATGGTGCACCCCCTCCGGGGGCAATAAAAAATTAAAAATAAATAAAATAAATAAAAAATAAAAAAATAAAAATTGCTTCATAGATACTTTGTTGTGGTGCCACAATATTTGGGATGTTTTGATTGAAAATTAATATTGTTACAAATATGTTATTAAGTAATATAAAAATAAAAATTAATATCAATTTGCTAAACTTAATTTTATCATATTATTTATATTTTAGCAAATGAAAAATAATGTGTTATGAATAGTCTTTCCCGATGTTAAACATATGTACAAATTCTAGTGCATACTAAACATAAATTAGAGGTGAATCTATCTTTTATCACCTATTGCACAAGCTTTTCTTTTTTTAAAGCCTTACCTGAGAAATTGGTTAAAATTCCATGACATTTTGAGAGAGCGCATGAGATAGAGAGAGCATGAGAGGGGGGAAGGTCAGAGGGAGGAGAAAACCTTTAAAAACGTTCTTAGGACATTTTGTATAGTCTACTCCTGAATTACGAGATCAGGAGTCTCACTCTTAGATATAATTGAAATTTAACATTGCTTTTAGTCTAAAGCAATTATAATTTAATAGGCTTGCTGTCTGGAAAAGAACCCACTGTAAACTATCTTTACCTTCTTTTTTAAGTGCAATAATTATCATTTCTGTTTAGAGCACATTTTAATAAAGTGGAGGGCCAATCTAACAGTTACTGTTTTTATTTCATAATCGTATGTGTGCATTATAATATATATATATATAATATACATATGTTATTTATAATATTCTGTGTTATTATTTTAAAAACTATATGTGGAACATATTTATATTTTATAGCTCAAAGTAGTTCACAGTCTTCTCAGTTGTCTCAGCCTATAACTGAGTAACAAAAACGCTTGAGATGAAATCAATTATTATCAGATGCAGATTAATCAACACCCAAAGTAAAATTTACGTTGCAAATTAAATGGGTATTTTGATGCACAAATTTGTGTTAAAGTTACTTAGCTGAGTTTTTAATTTTTTATCTTCATTTTTTTAATAGGAAGTTCAGCTTACGTATAATGCCTTCACAGGCGTAGGTATTTTAAAATTTAGTTATGCATTTTCCCTTTTTACAACCTGTATTATGGTCTAATTAATTTGGTTTAGAAAAGCTGTAACCATTTAATAAAAGCCGGTGGTTTTAGTTTATCCTTTGCATAGGTAGGTTAATTAAGGAAATGATTGTTTTTTTCCTTTTGTTTTCTTTCCTACAATGTGAAAAATGCATCCTGATACAAGGTGCAAAATTAGAATAAGATAGATTACAGGCTGAAATGGATTATAAATCAACTCTGTACTGTGAATACTTTATAGTAGACATTTGCTAACTAAAAAATCTGACATTTATATAACAATGCATGCAAATTTTCCTCTTATATGTCATTTCCCTGAGATGAAAGTAATTTTAAAATGCAAGGTCAAAGAAATGATTACCCCTAACAAATAATAATAGAAGTTAAGGACAAATATCAGGAAGCAATTTGGCATTTTCCTATTCTATGGAGCATTTAATATCTAGTGTACACTGTCAGATAAGAGTAGGAATGGTGAGGTAGGAAATCCTTGCTGTAGGATGGAGATAACTTCAAGGTAGATAAATTGTTCCATTGGTTTAATGGCTGTTATTGTTCCCTGGCAAAAACACTGTTGGAGCTGTTCTTGTGGGACCAGAGTATCTCCTATATCTGATAAATGGTATGACCAGGACAACCTCAGTCTCAGCAGGACAGACGCTGAACAAATTGTCAGCATGATTTACATACAAGTTGTCAACAGCATCTGGGTTGCTCTGTGAAAGAATGATGGGTAACAGATGTTCTGGGAAATGCTACCATCTGCCCTTTCTCAAAATACATCCCCTGTGAAACAATGCATTTGAATAGATGCCACAGAGATACCTTTCTTTTGAAGAACTTAAACATCCTCAATACTTCAATGTTACTTGTGGCCGTCACAAAAGCAAATGGTCTTAAGAGTGTAAATGCAATCAGGGTAAGTAAGCAGACAGGTCCTTGAAAGTTCTTTGAGTTTAGTCACATAGTTTGGAAAAATAATGGTTGTTGACTCTCTAGTGGGTATACCAGAAAATTTCCAGCAGGAGGTCAGGAACTCCTTTTGTGCATATCTATTAAGTGATGTCACACTAATATATTATTTAGTTAGTGGTTTGTTTAAATTCTGTAGTAATCTCATGTTATTTTAAAGCCATTTGCTTTACAATTACAGTAAAAGAAATATAAAAATAAAAAATATACAATTCAATATTTTGATGCCTGCACTCACTTGTTCTAGAGATATAAATACGGCTATGTATCAATGTGCTGAAGGGTAAGTGTGCACTGGTTGATCAGTATTAGCAATAGTAACAGGTCAAAGCTCTCAAGAGTGAAAAATATTTAGCCACTTTTTGCCTTTTCTCCCCAGTATGAATTATTTATTTAAGCAAAGAGTTTCTTCCCTCTGTTGAGATGGTGATAAGATTTGTGCTTGCTGGACCTGGAATCTTATATATAGTGAAAAACTCAAAATTTAATGATTTTTTAAAAGATCTACCAAACACTTTTATGTACAAAATTATTAATAAAATGTTTTTCTAAACATACAATTACTGAAAAAAAGCATTCATAAAGTTATTTTCCCTTGGTAGATTTAATTTATATTTCAAACTTTAATATATAAACTCCTTATGCAAGTAATGATAATACATTTATTTATTTATTTTAAAGATTTTATTTATTTATTTGAGAGAGAAAGAGAGAGAGAGAGAGAGAGCATGAGAGGGGGGAGGGTCAGAGGGAGAAGCAGACTCCCTGCTGAGCAGCGAGCCCGATACGGGACTCGATTCTGGGACTCCAGGATCAATACCTGAGCTGAAGGCAGTCACTTAACCAGCTGAGCCACCCAGAAGCCCCGATAATACATTTATTAAAAATGAAATAATAGAAGTTAACCTGACAGGCATTTAACAACATATATGACCATAGTGATATAAACTTTGCTTACTTTATTATGCCTAATTAATGTAGAATTTTTAAGTGATAATCTTGAGGAATTTTATGAGCCAAATACCTTTCAAGTTATAACTGATAATTTATGTATACTGTACATTTTATCACATTTAAATATATCTAATTTTTCCTTTAAGTTTGTTAAAGATGATAATTTTATGGCAACCAGAATATAAAATTAATGAAAGTAATTTAATCTTAATAAGCATTCAGAATAAGATGAAATATAGATATTTTGGCATTGACTATGACTTGTGAGAATGTTAAGCTAGCCAAGGAATGAAATCATCTAAACTTAGATTACATAAGACCTTCATATGGCAGTCAAAGTTTTGATTTAAAAAAGAATTAAAGAACACACACACACACAGACACACACACACACACACACACTCAGTAAAACAATAGCCAGCCCATTTGTGGGAATATACATTTAAACCTCTAAAATCTATCCCTAGCCTAAATTCCATGTTGGAATTCCAAAAAATATATTTATCTTCTTAGCCTTTCTCTTTTAATTTCATCGTATCTTCTTGTTGCAATCACCTTTGACAAAATTAGAGTAGCAATTACCAAAATGAATCATGGCAGATTTTTTTTAAGATTTTATTTATTCATTTGAGAGAGCGAGAGCACATGAGAGGGGGGAGGGTCAGATGGAGAAGCAGACTCCCTGCTCAGCAGGGAGCCCGATGCGGGACTCGATCCCAGGACTCCAGGATCACGACCTGAGCCGAAGGCAGTCGCTTAACCAACTGAGCCACCCAGGCGCCCCATCATGGCAGATTAACAGGAAGGGATGAGGTATGTGGTCCTCTTCTTTTAGTTAAGGCTTTAGAAAAATAAAAAGCACCAGAGAATTACTGATTAATTTATGTTGTCATAATTTCATCCAGTTCAGTTCTGCAAACACTCATTGAGGAAGTAATGAGCAGTGTTGTGTGCTGTGGAGGACCCAAGCGGGACAATGCAATTGTTTACAGGTGGTGGGGTAGTGAGACAAATCTTGTACAGGAATCCAATGTGCGCGCCTGAAAAAGTACTATTAGATGAGCTAATGTGTCAATTAACTTAATAGTTTGTTTTTGTCTGTTTGTGTTTATCGGCAACATAGCTAAGAACATCATGATCGTTTATCTATGAAAAACAAATGTGGCTAACTCATCCATTTTTTCCTAGCCCTAAAACAAAAACAGACCTATTTATAAACATAAAATATATCATGAAAACTATGTGTATCCATGTCAAAAAGACATGTAAAGAAAGAATAAGGGCATAAGAGTCATTATAGATAGAATAAGTTCATAAATAACAGGACCAGATTCCATTATAACTCGTATCTTAATGATCCTTAAAAGATGATCAGCAGCAGCTTCTGTGGTGTTAATAGCTTTTCAAGTAGGCTTGATTACACAGGACTAACCATAGATATAAATGATTCTTCATAGTACACAATTATAGTCTATAGTAGAGGTTGAGGATGGATGTTCTTTGATTAGAGGTAACATGCAAGGTATAGGAGATTGATTACAATAATGGCCCAACGTTCTCCATCTTACTCCCTTATAGCCATGTTTTTTGCCATGTGGCTTCACAATTTCTCTCACTAAAGAGGTTGAATCTGTTTGCCTAGTCCTGAATTCTGAGTTCAGTTATATAACTCACTTAGGCCAGTGGGACATTAGGATAGGTGATCCATGCAGAGGTTTGGAAAAAGCGCTTGTGTGTTTCCACGTTCTCTCTTATTTTCTTGGAATGACATAAATATGCTTATGTCTACTTGAAGCAAGGCTATTTTACATCACCTGAAAGCCAGCTAATCCACAGGCATGTGAGTAAGCCATACAGGTCAGTAGACCAAAGATGTATGAGCCAGCCCAATTGAATCAATGGAATACCCCAGATGTGTGAGTTAAATAAATGTTTGACAATTCATGTCCTGAAGGCTTTGTGATTGATTTTTG